TCTCTCTCTCTCTCTCTCTCTCTCTCTCTCTCTCTCTCTCTCTCTCTGATGTACCCTGAAACTGTAACAAAGTAAAATGTCAAATCTGTCACACATCTAGCCTTGGGTAGGGCTCTAGGCATAAACTTAGTTTGGTCTCAGACTTTCACTTTGTTTTGTTTTTGACTTGAATATTTTAATCATAGTGGGTAAAACCTTTGTTTTATTTCCACTCGGTTTTCCCTTCAATTATAATCCAACTTGATCTGATTGTGTTGGAATATTGACAAGAATATTTGGAATAAGGTAAGAGAAAATTTATTTGAAGATGTGCTTACTCTGGGGTTAAAGAGATATAGAATATGATTTTCAGATGTGCTCATGTATAGGTTACTTATTATTGCTGGTGTCAATTGTTTTGGTTTGATTTTTGTTTCTTTTGGTCTTTTCAGGCTGAGTCCTGCTACATAGTTCAGGCTGACCTTGACCTGGAGGTGATACGCCTGCCTCAGCACTCCAAGCACTGTGATTATAGGTATGAGCCACCTTGCCCAGTTTGCTGGCCAATGTGTTTTAACAAGCAAGGTCTTCAAAAAAATTCCTGATGCTCCCTGGAATGACTCACCTGGATTCCTGAGATACATGGCTGGAGATCTCTGGTGTTCACGGTTTCATAGAGCCAGTGCCAGGAAGGAGTGCATTGTGGGAAAGAATTCAGATTTCAAACAAAGCCAATAGTCAGGCTAGAAAAAGTTCTTCCTAATTTTACCACTCATAGAGGAAGCCTCACAAATTTGAACACAGCTAAACAAAAATATAAAATTTGCCATTTGTATTAGAAGTGAAACTCTTTAAAGTTATCAAAAAATTATGATTAATCACCGAAAGACTGACTTTGCTTGCCAACTTACAGATATTACAAAATAAACTTTAGAGTATTCAGTCCAAAGAATAGAAACAGCATTTTAATACTACATTGGAATCAACTAAAAATGCTATTTCTAAATTAGTGTTGACTATGGCTTCCTTATTTGTAAAATTATAACTTTCCTGTATTTTCCCATTATACTCAGTGTATTTGTAATGTATTTTAGCTGAGCCTGGTGGAACAAGCCTGTAATCCCAGTATTTAGGGTGGCTGAAGCAGACTTACTGTGAATTCAGGTCAACTACAAGATTATTAAAAACAAAAAACAAAACAAAACAAAACAAAACAAACAAAAAAAAAAAAACAAAAAAAAAAAAAAAAAAAAGGAAAGAAAATCTGTAGCTACTGAGGTTTAGGCCCAAGAAAAGGTTTGATTTAGTCTGTGACACTTAATAGTTTTAATTAAGGAAGTTGAGTGGAAAAATACTAAACTGTTGCTGGCTACTCAATTTTTTAGCTTTAAAATTGTTTGGACTGTGATAGGCCGCCTATATTATTGTTCATTAAGTAGTGGAATTAAAACTATAGCACCGCATATTAGACTATTTTGAATGCTAGTTATTGAATTAAAAAAAAGCCCAACAATTCCCCCCCCCCCCACACTAAATCTCTGAAAGTGCGATGTCCTACAGCTGCTTTTAAAATATTGTGGGTGGCTCTTAAAAGAGCCTTTTCGGTTTAGTTTTCATTTCATTGGTTTAGGCCCTCTCCCCGCGGATGCGGCGCGCCAGCTGGATGTCCTTGGGCATGATGGTGACCCGCTTGGCGTGGATGGCGCACAGGTTGGTGTCCTCGAACAGCCCCACCAGGTAGGCCTCGGAAGCCTCCTGCAGCGCCATGACCGCCGAGCTCTGGAAGCGCAGGTCGGTCTTGAAGTCCTGCGCGATCTCGCGCACCAGCCGCTGGAACGGCAGCTTGCGGATCAGCAGCTCGGTGGACTTCTGGTAGCGCCGGATCTCGCGCAGAGCCACGGTGCCCGGCCGGTAGCGGTGCGGCTTCTTGACGCCGCCGGTGGCCGGCGCGCTCTTGCGGGCGGCCTTGGTGGCCAGCTGCTTACGTGGGGCCTTGCCGCCCGTGGACTTACGCGCTGTCTGCTTGGTTCGAGCCATGAAAACAAGGAGGCAAAACAACTGACTGTAGCAAAACCAGCTGCACTTGTCCTTAAATAGACGTAGAAGCATTCTGATTGGCCTCACAGTGTTTCAAAAGACCCGCGCAACAAAATCATTGGCTGAAAGGTAAACTGTACCGTTGGTTGATTGGAAGAGACTGATTGCACAAATGTCATTATGTTCTTGACATTGTTATTCTTGGGGTCTGAGAACAAATTCTCTAACGTTCTAACTCATTGTCACTAATTGTGATGTACAGTAGGGACCATTTAAAGGCCATTCATATTAGAATGATTTCTAATTAGTTTTGAAATGAGACTTGACATTGCAAAATAAAGACAACCACCTGATTAGCCAGTACCGCTGGATATCCACGCTTTCATTTTGTTTCCTCTGAAATTGTTTCATTTGTTGCTTCCCTAAATTTCCCTCTTTGAGTGAATTGTGACATTCCCACTTGATTTTCCAAGCACTTACTTTAAGCATGAACTATGACCTGGTAAATCTTATTACCACTAATGAAACTTAATATTTAACAGTCATGAGTCCTTAAGATAGTCTCAAATACATGGTTGAGTACACTAGGATAAAAGCTAACAGCTTTTCTCATGAATATGTAGTGGCTCTGAAAAGAGCCGTTGGATACAAAAGGGATTTCAGTACTTCACTATGTTACTGCGCACTGATTTCATTTGCCCTTGGCCTTGTGGTGGCTCTCGGTCTTCTTGGGCAGCAGCACGGCCTGGATGTTGGGCAGCACGCCGCCCTGCGCGATCGTCACCTTGCCCAGCAGCTTGTTGAGCTCCTCGTCGTTGCGGATGGCCAGCTGCAGGTGGCGCGGGATGATGCGCGTCTTCTTGTTGTCGCGGGCCGCGTTGCCCGCCAGCTCCAGGATCTCGGCCGTCAGGTACTCGAGCACGGCCGCCAGGTAGACCGGGGCGCCGGCGCCCACGCGCTCGGCGTAGTTGCCCTTGCGCAGCAGGCGGTGCACGCGGCCCACGGGGAACTGCAGCCCGGCGCGGGACGAGCGCGTCTTGGCCTTGGCGCGAGCCTTGCCGCCCTGCTTGCCGCGTCCAGACATGGTTAACTTTAAAAGAGTAAATGAAAACTAGGGTGGGTGGAGAAACGTATTTATAGCCAAGGCAGGGCTGTATTACTGAGCTGTGTCATTGGTTAAAAAGGCTGTTTGTTTGTCCAATAGAAAAAGAAAACGTATTCTTTATTCGTATTAGGTCCGCCCCTGTAGAAAAAAAGTAGTCTTTTTTGTCCAATCAGTGGTGAAGATTCTCAAACCCTCATTTGCATTAAACGAGTATAAATAAAAACCCTCGGGTCTTTCCCACTTGCTAGTTTTTGTGGTTTGCAGTCAAGATTGTTTTTTTCTAGAGCTATTAGGTAAATAATGCCTGAGCCCTCTAAATCGGCTCCCGTCCCGAAGAAGGGCTCTAAGAAGGCCATTACTAAGGCTCAGAAAAAGGATGGCAAGAAGCGCAAGCGCAGCCGCAAGGAGAGCTATTCCATTTATGTGTACAAGGTGCTCAAGCAGGTGCACCCGGACACGGGCATCTCGTCCAAGGCCATGGGCATCATGAACTCGTTCGTCAACGACATCTTCGAGCGCATCGCGGGCGAGGCGTCGCGCCTGGCGCACTACAACAAGCGCTCCACCATCACCTCTCGGGAGATCCAGACGGCCGTCAGGCTGCTGCTGCCCGGGGAGCTGGCCAAGCACGCTGTGTCTGAGGGCACCAAGGCTGTCACCAAGTACACCAGCTCCAAGTAAGTGCCATTATAGGCACTTCTTAAACCAAAGGCTCTTTTCAGAGCCACCTCCTTTGTCCAAAGAGAGCCATAACTCTTTTCTTGTATCTAGTGAGGTTTCCTGGCTTGAAATTGATCAGAGACAGTGACCGTTAGGTTTTAGCAACTGTATTCTGTACTAGAGCGGAGGGCACTGTCTTGGGGCACCTCAGCGGAGTATGCCTTCTGGTCTAACAATGGAATTTCAGATTTCGCGTTGTGCTTGTTTACTGACACTAGCGATTACTCCAAAACCATTAAGTATGTTCTCCAGTCCCAGAAACCCTGTACCAGTTTGCTGCTGAAGGGTAGAATGGAGCGAGCGTTTTGGCTGGGGCTCAAAGAGGGACAAAGGGTTTGATTTCGCGGCTTTCTCTCTCCTGCTCTGAGAGCCCTCAGGGAAGGAGATTAATGTGGAGGGAGATGGCTGGTTCTCGCTACAAATAAACTCTTCTCCAAAGGCCGCGACTCCAAAAATAATGGCTAGAAAGCTAGGAAGAGCATTGGGTAAGAGAATCAGCGGGCTGTCTGGGTCTAGATCAGGGAAGGAGAAAAAGGGGGCTGTGTGTGATGGTGGTGGTGATGGGCAGGCCTTCCCACCGGAAAGAAAAATAATTTAATAAGGCTGTGTGCACCTTATGCACCCACAAGATGGAGACATATCAAGAATAAACGTTTAAAGAGATAGGTCAAAAACTCTTCGGGAATGCACCCAATATGTTAGTAAACCACTGTGTGACAGTTTCAGTATACACAGTGCTATTGAGCAAGGCTTGGGTTAAAAGTCTATATTTTTTAAATTATAAAACGCCCCCTTCCCAGGACATTAATGTGCTTATTTTGATACGTTATGAGTGAAAATAGTACTATTTCCTAACATTTTTGATATGATCTTTTGAAGTAGGGATTATTTTTCTCTCCAGGTTTTCTTTTATGGCTATTTTGTTTGCCAGCTCCTTTTTTATTGTCTTTTTCCCCCTTTCTCTTGAAGTAAGGTGTTATTATAGATAGCTAGGTTAGAAATGTTATAGGCAGTTAGACAGGGCTCTGCACGCCAGAGAGTCAGTGCAGGAAATGAAAACTCATTACAACTGCGGCCCAAAGTACATCTGTGAGAGGCCAGGCCTCTAGACAAACGCAAAATGCCCAGGCCTACATGCTTCCCTAAAGGCTGAGGTAAGTGGTAATACCTGGTAGACTCTCTAAGAAAATCTAGACAGTTGCGTCAGTGGGTGACCAAGACTCTTGGACTTGTGTCTTCCGGAAATGTTCTTTGTTCTTTCCATGCACACTTGTTTTGTGACTTGTTTCTCTATTACTACACTTACAACCTTGTTGGTTGAGTATAGCTTTAACCCACGTTGTACCCATGTGATTGTGTTCTATAAAATTTCCACTGAATAGTGGGGTCTGCAGCAACCCATTCAGGACCCTCCTTCCTCTCTGGAGCTATATTGTTCCCTCGATAAATATTTTCTACTCTTAATTTCTTTTGTTTCTTAGAATTCATTCTTCTATTTTGGGGAATAGGGACTCAGCATATCAAACTTCTCACAGGTTGAGGGTTATATTTCCCCTTTATCATTAGGAGGCCCTGTATCATTGTTGTACCAATATGAAGAATACTTGATATTTTATTAGAATTGTACCTCTAACAGACCCACACCAAAACTCAGGCCTCCTAAGATCAGAGCTCAGCCTTTTTGCCATCTACACTGACATTCAATGAGTGCATACAGTGTTTTTGTTTTCAAATAAGATGTTTAGATGCTGAGGAGTGGTGAGAAGTCAGAAATGTTCATAAATTTTCCACATCGTCCTCATGAAAGTGTACCTTTGGACACAGTCCAGCTAGGGAGCAGTCCCAGGAACCTGAGTGAAACTACAAGTTTTTACACAGCCCATTCAATAATAAACCACGAGATTTTCTCCAGAGCTGGAATGTCTCTTACAATAAAAGAGAACAAAACCTCCTATAACATATTCTAGATTCTCCTTTTAGTGAGAGGAACATTTCTCTATCCATCCACAGGAAGAGCTGAATTTCAGAGGGAGCTGTGTGTGACTGAGCTATCTCTGGATGACTGAAAATAAATGGAAGTGTCTTGAGAACATTTGGAGAGACTGAAGGAATTTGGGAAGGAAAGGCCCACAAAGAGACAGATGCCAGGTGGTCCAGGTACTGCTTATGATCGGGGAAAGAAAGGGCATAGCCTGCAGAAGAGAAATGTCCTGGCCTGCTTCTTGGCTTGGGGGAGGACACCGAATTCACAGTTCTGTCTTTAGTGTCTGTCAGCGATACTCTTGTATTTTTCTTGTCTTTCCATTTCCATTAAGTAATATATGTTTAAATAAGGTTGTTTTATAAAAATTACCTGAAAAAATAATGGGCTGCCTATTTTAAAAGTAACCACTACAAGTAGTGATTTCAATTACAAACATTGACGACTTTCAATTCTCTTGATGGCAGGTTACTGCCTGACAGCTGGAGTAAACTTGAGCCAGAACAGGAGGCCTCTAACAAAGAAGGAATACACAGGCCTTTCTAAGCCCCATGTTGCTTCACCGCATCATTCTTCGATCATATATCCTTGTTGATTATACTTTACAGTTGCTCACTTCTTCACCAAACTTACCTTAAGCATAGCTAGGTCTCCTTGTGTTTTTTTGTTTTTTTTTTTTTTTTTCATTTGGAATTCTACATTGCTATATGAATTGCATGTTAAATAAATTTTTATGATTTTCTTAGTTTTATTTGCTATATGTTAGGAGCTTCAGGCATAAACTTAGTGATGAGTTAAAAAAAAAAAAAAATATATATATATATATATATATATATATATATATATATATATCTTTTCTCTCTGACAAATTAAAAGTCAATTTTATTCCCACCATCCCGGACATTTTGGTAACTAATCTTTTACAACATTTTACCTGTATTAGGAGTTGGGGATATAGCTTAGCTGCAGAAGTGCCTGTGTGACAAGTGCAAAGTCCTGACTTTGATCCCTAGTACAGGAAAACAAACAAACAACCCAAATCTTTACCTGTGTAAACTTATATGTGAAGATATGTAAATATTATGCAGATGAAAGAAAAGTTTTGTTTTACTATCATCTTTAAAATTTAAGTAAAAGTTTTATTTTTCATAATTGTTCATTGTAGGTATATAATGGCCCTTTCTGACTTTCCATTTTTTTTTGGATTATGATCACTTTACCACTACTATACTTTCAGATGCTTCTCTACATTCTTACAATATTGCTCTAGGGGAAATGGCCGAGATGGCTTTTCATGATCCAAGAAAATCTACACAATATTTTAAAGTATATCTCCAAGTTGCTATCTTTAAAACTTGTGTAGTCCTCACCAGAAAGTGTTAATATGTTAACATCCAAAACTTTTCTCTTCTCTTTTTTTTAGTCTTTTTGAGGCATGGTCTTGCTATGCAGATCAGGCTGGCCTTGAACTGGAAGTGATCCTCCTGCCCAGCCCCTCAAGTGCTAGGATTACAGATGTGAGCCACCACCCCTGGTATCAAAAATATTCTCAGACAATGAATATTGTCAGTTTTTCAAACGTTTTCAGATGGTAGGCATAAAAATTAGATCTTATTGTTTTCACTTTGTAAAAATTATTTGAAGCTATACATTCAGATAGTGACCTTTCTATTATTTGACTGTTCATGCCTCTTCATTTCCCTGTTGGAATGGTGTTGTACTTATAGTATTTTACAGATATGGTTTCGGTGTGTTGATAGGTTATATTATTGGTGCAAAGGAAATTAAGTCCTGATCATGCTGAGTTTGTGATTTCACAACATCAAGGACTGAAGTCCCAAATCAAAGGAGGAAGTTAGGAGAATTTTATTGGAAATAAGGAGAAGAAGAATAACTCCTGTATTTCCCAGGAGGGGTCCTGAATCGGTGGTCACGATAACCTTTTATCAGGGGTAATTTATACAGCAAAGTGACACGGCAGGTTCAGTGTGGGTCTAACTACCATTAATCTATAGGATTACAAATATGGCTGCTTAGCTAACATTGACCCAATAGGAAAACAAGTCACAACAAGGGCATATCGAAGGAACCAAGGCATTTTGGGGAATAGGAGTTGGCTCTGGATTTTCTGGTCACCCCCTTGGGTGACTGATGTCTACCTGGGCCCACTGGACCAGGTGGTGTAGTTATAGGACATTCTCAAGCTGCTATTTAGCTTTCAGGCCAGGCTGCTGCATCTCCACCCTGAGGCCTGGCTCTCTTCTGTTTACCTCCAGCCCCA